ATTAATTTTAATAATACGAAATACATTGTTACAAAAAGTTACTCTCAAGCAATTGCTTTTATTGACAAAAACGTTACGTTCTAAGAAAGAATTGGAATTGAACGTAATGACGTTGGTAATAAGTGATTACAATATCATAGCAAAGGGACAATATTCTGAGGAACAAAGGTTTAAAGGTTTAAAGCAACGTTTAGTACCTTGTACGAATCTTTTTGCTTCTATACGTGCGACAATACAGTCGGACATGGAAGCATACAGGCATCGTACTCTATCCTGAGACAGGTCTGGAAAAATCTGTTTGCATCCTGTCACAAAAGGTAAAACATAAGAGTGAAGGATTTACTAAGCGTATCGCAGTGTTGTTAATGTCTTTTGTATCACTACTAGGTTCCGGGACATCCGGGAATTTTTCGGGGAATAGTTTGTCCAGATATGTCAGCCGTGTCCTTCACTTAGCCACACTGTTGTGGGCATGGCCAAACCCATGTTAGATCTGTAAAATACTATATTATTGTTCATAGAGCTAAAAGATCTAAAGATTTTTCTTTACTCTAGCTCTTTAACTGTTATACAAGATGGTTCCTGAGACTACCATGTTGCTCTACAGTTAAGACGGGGTTACAGCATTCATCAGTGGTCCTTCACACTGTAACATGGTGGTTGTTCATTCTCAAGTACCATCGGGAATATGGACCGGATAGTGTTATATAAATGGAATATTGTTTTAAGATAGTATACTGCCAGTCCATAGCAGTTCATCTCTATCATGACTGGAAACAAATCCGACGATTTGATTTTGATGTGCTGATGGGATAATGAATAGTAGTCAGAATGCATGCAAATTTACTTTCTGTTAGTCACATGTCAAATAGTACAGGAAGAGAAAGTTCTATGGTGAGACTTTCATCTGTTTCTGGGTGGTAGATAAAGACGCCATTGCAGCTGTTCGTGCTTGGCTTTTGCGATCAGACGAGCTCCTGGTAATCTGTTTGGAAAGCCTGTAGCCTATACGCCATATGTGTGCCTTCACATATTCACAGACAGGATAGATACAGACAGACAGATAAAGTTGTCCTCACAGTCAGAAAAACCAGAATGGCAGACAATTTGGCGAAACAGACATTCTGCATCCGTCACCTCGATCATGCGGCTTTTCTCGAACTCCGTCAGCTGGCCTTAAAATCGCTACTCCAAAATAAAGAGGCTTGCAGAGACTCATTGTATATAGAATCCATAGTGTACTGTACCCTTCGTTAGTGGTCTTTGATTGTATTGTTTACGCATGTCTCTACAATGCAATCAAAGACCTCCAACAAGTACTGTAATACACTTATAATTCTAAATACAGTGAGTATCTGAGAGTCTCTTCATAATGGGATAGCGATTTCAAGACCGTCTTGTGACATTACTTGGTATGGAATCAGATCGCGACTGTAATCATTAACATACCTGTCTGAGACACATGTATACAGAGTCTAGCAGTGATCGGATAATTCTATCTGGATGCATAACTTTTTTGTCAATGAGTATATAATCGCAAAGATAAGCAGCCAAATACTTCCATGAAACAATTATTTCCTCTTTCATTACAATTACCGATATATTTTGAACATTCTGTATTAAATTTGACATCACAATTAATCATGTTTTAAAATGAATTAAATAAACATCTAAGTTGCATATAAATCTACACGTCTTATGTGGACTCATTTCCAGATAATTATCTAAATATAATGATCTTTGTCCTATAGGTTAGTCTAAACAATCTATATCTTATATAAAAATATAGTTTCTTTAATTTATTCAGATTTTGATTAAATTATTATTTTTTAAATTAATTAAGATTTTTCTCACAAATTAATAATTGTGCAGATGGTAAAGAAAATTTACATATAAGTACGCTAAGAATAAGAATCTACATGCTTACATATAAGCATGCATCCTACTACTGTAATTCTTTTCTCATAGTTGCATGCACGCTTCTAATTCTTGCTCATAGTCGCATGCTCTCTTCTAATTCTTACCCCATAGTCGTATGCTCTCTTCTAATCCTTACCTCATAGTCGCATGCTCTCTTCTAATCCTTACCTCATAGTCGCATGCTCTCTTCTAATCCTTACTTCATAGTCGCATGCTCTCTTCTAATCCTTACCTCATAGTCGCATGCTCTCTTCTAATCCTTACCTCATAGTCGCATGCTCTCTTCTAATCCTTACCTCATAGTCGCATGCTTTCTTCTAATTCTTGCCTTTATGATAATTTTTATTTTAATTTATTTTTCATTACAGGAAACTTTACTTATATTAAAATAATGTTAGAATGCTTACAAATAAGACGCATGAAGCAATGACTTAATAAACTTGTTGATAATTTTTCTGCTGTTTGCGTAACGTCATACATAAACAAATTTTTATAATGCATTCATAAGTTTCGATAATACCGGTATATGATAAAGTAATCTATCAATATTACAATAAATAGCATATAATATGTGTGAAAATTATACAATAAGAAAACTTTTCTGTAAATATACGACACATCTTCAGCAATATATAACGTTCTCAGCCATACATTTGTGATATAAAGTTTGAAACAATAATACATTAATTAACGGTAATTGGTTTAGAGATGTCTTTAACAAATCACAGTTATGATATCCATTTCTACAATACATTAAACTGTCGATCATCCAGGATGAATGGGGAAATGTCATCTAAATAAAAATCTCGGTTAATCGGATCGTTTAAATTTATTATCAAATAAACGGAACAAGTAAACTTTCAATAAATGACGTAATAAACTGGACACTTCAGCAAACTGTGTCATTTCCTTCCCCCTTTTGGCCAATAACCCGCAGAGCGGATAAATTGAGATGACTTGATGATTCGTAGATAGGCATTTTTACCATCCCTGTTAATCCGCTTTCCCATTAACGTGATTCCGGATAATCGAGAGTCTATTATGTCTCCTGATTCGATATTAAATACGTAAGGGGGCAATCTATGTTCACAGAAACCACCATATTGTTTATTTTTTAAGGTTATTATAAAGGTTGGCTCAAAAATTTGTTAACCGAGGTGTTAAGGATTTTTAACAGAATGGCTTGGAGTGCAGTCTGTTATTTACTTATATAATTTACCTTTCAATTGAATTATAATGTTAATAAATTTGGAAAAGAATAAATGGGGCCTCTATTAAAAGAGTAAATGCTTTATAATCTCGCTTAAATAAGAACTTCGGGAAAACTTATTATCGTATAACACCTCGTTTAATATAATTAGATTTTATGGGTTAATAAACAATTTTCATCCTGTTGGCTAATTAGAATTAACTGTAATTCAAAATTATCCTTATGAGCTTGGATTTATTCTTTAAATAGTACTAGAAAAATAATGAATTTATAAAATTATTATATGCTTAAATTAGTAATTATTTAATAAATTAAAATGCCATTCAAGAAACTTAATGAGTTATTGATTTAATTAATTTAGTAATCAAGGAAAGAGATGTTGTAAATCCTTCATTGGCTGCCTCTTATCACTTTCTAATCATAGTTAATAACAAAATACCTTTTGTATTAAGCAATTTTAATCAAATTTTTGAAAGGTGAATCAATTCTAAAGTCGAATCTGATATTGAAAAAAGAGGAAAATATTGAATTGTCTTCAAAGGATTCTTACTTTTTTGAATTAAATTAAATTTTTAAAACACTTTTCTTATTAAACAATATATGTTAAATGGTAAATTAGATCCACGACTAAGAGGCCTCACGTTAAAACTTTACTAAGTGGTCGATAATAAATTATGAAGAAATCTTCTTGGCTTAGAATTCTCAGTACAGTATATTTAAATTAAATCCTGAATTTTGTTAATTTGAAATTAGAATTTTTTGTAAAATATGTAAAGTTAGATTATTAGTATCAGAATAAAGTGAGCAATAATAAAATCACGCTTTCAATAAAGTGTGTTTTTATTATTGTTTAAACATATTAACACATAAACAGACTGAGAAAAATGAGATAGAACCACCTTTATGGTTATCTCTCGTATCTAGCTAGTAAGCCATAAAAATATACGATTAAAACCAATCAAACCAAAACAGATTCTTCACCCTTAATTTATAACATTTACGTATTGTTTTTTACGTATCAGGTTAAATTTTGAAGCCTCTATGTGTCTGTAGCCCTGATGAAATAACCACGAAGGTCCTCTCTGTTTGTACCTATTCATACTTCATAAAAAATAATATTTCAGAAATTCACATAAAATCAGCATTACTGAAATTAGGCATTAGAATGATGGATTAAATCTCCGAATTTAGAATCTGATATTTTAAAATGTATTTTCTAAATGTTCATTTTATATTACTCTAACTACTTAGACTAGTAATAGAGAATCCTTTGTAATGGGATTGCCATATTTTCAGAAGGATCTCATAATGCCGCATGTTGTTGTAGCAAGTTGTAAGACTGTTCCTAATACAGCAAGTAGCAAAGTTCATTTACAATGAATGAACCTTCAATTACACAAATTATGAATGAACAGATTCATCCTTTCCTATTCCTAACTCCTTCTAGCCTAGCACTTTGTAAGTCGACTAGTACGGGTTAGGAAGAAGAATAATGTATCAACTGTACTAGGAATTGAATCCGGATGGATCTAAATTTAGGAAAATAACCTTTCTAATTAATCTTCCTTTAAAAAAATGCATATTTTATTGCTTGGTGAAGAGTAGAATAATATTGCGTGAATAACAGCACTTATAGTTTGTAAGAAATTTACATATATTGAATTTTCTTCAACTATTTGCATATGCATATGTTGAATTATATTTTCAATTTAAAGTATAGAATAAAAAATATTCAACGCGTAGAAAGATGAGACATAAAATTCAAAAATGGATACAATTTTGAATAATCGAAACTTTTTAAGTATTGTAGGAACTATAATAGATTTTGCAAGGATTAAATTGAAAGTTCAATGTTCTAGATAATCACAGAATGCGTGCATGAACAACATATTAACTTCGACGTCATGCCGAAAAGTTGTCAGGTAACAACTATTCTGTGCAATACACGTGACATAGAAACGATGATGGCAGCCTGTCTACGTCAATGATGTCATTTGACCTCCATATCTCGTTCTTTATCAGAAAAGGACAAATTCCCCTTCAAAGAAACCGGAATCAGATGCTTAATAAATACCGGCGAGGCTAACAAACCCCCATCACAGTCAATTTTACTATCAGACCGAGATGATCCATCTAACTTTAGCGTTGATTCTGCTCTGGAGAGCCATGGTCATTCGGGCATTTCCATCATTCGATATGGATCGCGAAAGAGAATTAAATATCCTGAAAGAAAAGATCCTTACGGATTTAGGACTTAGTCGATTACCAGATATGAATAAAGTCAACATTACTAAGGAGCAGATTGAGAAAATGAAATTGGCATACGAGAGAAGTGTGAAGGAGAGCGAACAGGAGGAACGAATTCGGAAAGTTGAGGATCCTCAGCAGCATTTCTATAGCTTCAAAGATAACGGTAAGTTTTAATCCATGATGTAATGTAAATCAAAGCGGAAGAGAATATTTAAAGTAAACATAGGAATATAAACAATAAGTTACCGAAATAGAAGTAAGAAAAATTGCTTTCGTAATTTTTATAATCATTGATTTATACTTTGGAATCTGATAGAGTTACGTCAGAGGTTATTCGAAGGACGATATTATTTTTAAAGGAAGACCTTTAAACTACAAGGACGAGATAATTTTAATAACTATCCTTGAACAAGAAAGCTTTTTTTAAAATTATTTTAATATAAAATTTATACTTTTTACGTTATAATAAAAATCAAACCAATTCAGCGAAGTTTCCGTTATCCATATCATTTTTTACATTGATTCTTGAGTTTTGAAGAATATGCTATGAAAATTTTCAAAATTAATAGCAACAGTTATCATTTCTTATAATATTAAAGCGGGTCATCTATAAAAAATTAGATGTAACGATGCTATCGAGTAAAGTTTAAAGTATAATCCTATTGAAAACAGCCAATGACCCCAGAAAAAAAGAAAAATAATCTTTGTTTGTAGACCCAGATAAAAGGGAAATTGGAATAAGAAATCAAAATTTATAAATTATCAATAAATATGTCAATAAAATATTTTCTAATTTCCTTTTTCTTTTTTAAATTCAGCTTCAAAGATCAATTTCACCAACAAGTATCATCTCTTTTTCCCTATGAACTTCAGAGGGCAAAGTGCCATTAAAGGTGCTTCATTGCATTCGGCTAAGTTATATATTTACAAACATAAAGTACCTTGGTATCAGTTATCGACTACAGCCACAGTTAAATTGTATCAAGTTATGAAGCCATATAATAAATACTCTGCAGAGACGATCTTACTTGAAATCCGGAATGTAGTGTTTGATGTGGATGGATGGGAAGTATTCGATATTTCAGAAAGTGTTTCCACTTGGTTAGAGAAGCCTTCGAGAAATTTCGGTCTGGAAGTGGAATGCGAAGATTGTCAAGATCGCAATAAGATATTAATCATGGCTGACACCGTAACAAAAGAAGACACCGACAAACGTTCCTATTTGGATATGTGGATCACGGAATCGCCATCAAGATCCAAACGTTCTAAAGCTCTAGAAAATAAATTCCAATCATCCGTTCTAGATTGCACCGAAGGACACAAGACTGATTTATGTTGTAAGCATTCCATGTGGGTTTCTTTTGCTGAAATCGGCTGGGAATGGATCATGAAACCTGCAGGATTCGAAGCCTTCTACTGCAAAGGAAGATGCCCACACGATTATAATAATTACGCGAGTACACACGCGTTAATTCAGAGCATATTTAATTATCATCGAAGTCAAGATATACCGGCTCCGTGTTGTGTGCCCAAACGTTTGAAACCGTTAAACCTGCTCCACTTCAACGATAAAGATCCACCAGAACTCATCATCACCAAGCAAATGGGTATGATCGTACAAGAATGTGCATGCTCGTAAATATTCAAGAAACCATTGAAAGCTGTGATATAATGAACAGAACGTGTGAAAAATCATGTTTACGAAGTGAGCAGACTAAAAATCGCAATGCAATCTCGTATGTGAAGGATTGTGTGCTTAAAGATACATATGTATAGATATATATACACATATATATATATTTTTATATACTTTTATAAGTTAAATATGTGTAAGTGTTCGTCTTATATATGGCTTGGAACTCATAGCGATACTTTTTTTACCACATAGAACTGAATTTAAATTGCATTTAAGAATCGCTATAATGTAATCCAATGTTTAAAATAAAGCTATTTATGGATATAAAGACTTTAATTAATTCTGTAACATTGTAGAGAAATCATAAATGATCCACTAATCTGTAGAAAGAAAATGAAAAATGGCGATATCTTTAAAATTAGAGTATTAATTTATAATTAAATTTAACAATCAAGTATGACGTGAAAAGTAAACAAGAGGAAATTAATTACAAATCTACATCGAAAGATCCTTCACCTAACTAATGGAGGGCGAATCTTTTGTCTTTTCAAACAGTAAGATCAATTATCCGCCTTTGTTAATTAGTCTCTTGCGTAATTTATTCGTACAACCACAATAAATAAAATCATTTAAGTTTCAACTGCAATACTCTTAACTCGTTACCCGTAATTATAATTAACTTTAATAATTATTTCTGTAATAAAAATAATAATTCCAGTGGAAATATAATATTTACATATTTTTACAAAATTTTAACTGTCAGTTTGTCTATTCGTAGAAATTCGTAAATAACTCTTAAAGCGCTTTCAATGAAACTTTTTAAATTTTCACTATAGATTTATATAGTCAAAATGAACATAGATATAATAAATTATAAAAATATATTAAAATTTGGGAAAAATTCTATATCGAATTAAATATATTTCTCAATTAATGCGAGTTTTGAACTGTTTTTACATTGTTTCTATATGCTTAATCAAGAGTTTACACCTGTTTTTACTCGTCTACCCCTTTCTAACACTATATTTAATCAGCTGACCCCTTACAATAATACAAAATAAGAATAAATTACAGGATAATTAAAACTCCATATAAAAATTAAGTAAAAATTGTTTTACTTAACTAACATTAAGATAAATAATATATAATAATAATAGCAATTGATATATTTATCCCCTTGTCATTTATTTCCCCCAGATCTCTTGAAGGTCACTAGCGACTTTGTTGGAAATACCTGCTTTGTTTTGTGTAATTAATTATTAATTAAACTTGTGTCTAAATTCACTACAATATTATTTTAATAATCTGTCTGTCTGTCTGTCTGTTTTCTAATATATATAGATAGATAGAGAGAGAGAGACTTTTTATTATTCAATGAAGCAGCCGAAATAGATCATTACTGGCCAGTTTTTAAATATTATATACAAGTCGTAAAGCGGGGTTTTTAAAGGGATCGGTCGTAAAACGAGCTCTAATGTATAAAATTCAATATAGGCCTACAGTACAGCAATTACTTAATTTTCCTCATCGCTTAATCGAATTAAAAATACAGTTTTGTTCTAGGATTTTTCTTTATTTTAAAAAATTATTAGATTTTTTTATATTATAATTTACTTAAATATTTATTTTGATTTATTTTAATCATTTTCCGAAGAGATTCCGAAGATCAGTAAATATTTGGTCTGGTTTTTCCTTATCAAATCAAATAAATAAAATATTAAGAATTATCTATTATAAAATAAAATATTTATGTATAAAAATGACGTATGAATTAAAAAATTATTTTAAAATTTAAGATAAAATAACGACATTTTGTTTATTTTTTTAAATATATTCAAGGGCTCAGTCTCTTATAATCCTCCATTGTGGCCTTGCAGAACTCATAACGAATATAGGAAAAAGACCCACTTAATGACCACCGGGCTTAGAGTCGAAAATGAAAATATATTTAAGGAAAAATCAATTTTTAGCCCAAAAAAAGAAAATATTTTTAAGTGTTTGAGTCATTTACATTTATTAGAAGAGCTTAAAGACAATTAAAGTGTGAAATTCTTTAAAAATAAACTTCATAAAGGAGAAATAAATAATTTTTTTTCATATTTTGCATTTAAAATTTTATAAACATTTAAATAAAATTGAAAAGTGAGATGTAACAAAGGAAGGGGCATATTTCCCATAAGAAAGGACCCTGATTAATAGACAATAGATAATTTTAAAAATTGTTGACTGATTAAATGAATTCGTGTAATATTATTTATTTATTTTAAATGATAATTTTATACTATGCAAGAAAATTTTTATAAAATTTAATTTTTTTGCGTAAAAAAACGGTTCCAAAACATTTAAAGGAAATCGTTCGGCTTCCTTACAAAACACGAAAGTCATTCAGCTTCTTATTGTTTTCATCATCATCATCGATATTGCTATCGAGAAATCTCCTGGGTCGTTCAGTAGATCAATGAATTCCATCTGTTCTTTCCTCTGCACCGCTCTTTGGCCACACAATCATGTTTTCTTCTCTCTCTAATTATCGTATCTCATTGTGGATTACATAATAGTAACAATCATTGGTTTCAGCTGTTGACAAAGAAATGGAGACGTATATTAGGAAACACTTAAACGAGTTGACGTATTTTTATGTATATTACTTGATATATTTAAAAGACGAGTTAAAAGAGTGTAAGTTTTAAATTGTAATTGTAAGCTCACGCTTGTGGAATTGCCATTGCTCCTAGGAATTGTGATATTGTTTATAAGTGTGAATTAGCAAACAATAAATAATTTTCTGACTGTATAAACACAATAAATAATGTACAATACAGTCGTAATTTAGAGTAGGATGGAAATCTTGCAGCGCGCTTCTAAATTTGTTCGTAGAAAGGCCATATAATTATATAATAAAGTAAATTCTTTGTCTTATTCCATCGATCAGGCAACTTTCAATTTCCTAAAGTTATAATCAATTTTCAAGCTTCTGCTTTAAATCTTGCATGAATCTATAACATATAATAAGATATATTTATCATTATTACTTATATGATAAAGTGTTACGCTATTTAAAAATCAAGCAAAACAAGAGAACATACAGCACATATCCATTATTATAAGATAAATGGTGAAAATTCTGTTCTTATTTTGTTTTATTCGTGTACTTTTTATGCATTTCAAAGAAGAATGGAACTCAGATTTGAGGTGCCAGACTTTCATCTCTATTTCTATGTTGTTTATATTTACAAAAGTTCGGATAAATTATTAATAAAGAAGATATTACACGAAATTTCATATATTTTATATTATTTCATTTACTTTTTACTCTTTTTACATTATGGGTACTATCCATATAAGAAACACTTGGAAATCATTAAGTAAATCTAATACCACATCTTCAACTATTTTCGGAGTTGAGTAATTCAGAAAGACATAGTTTCAAATGTTTTATTTTGAAAGACAATGTTCCCGAGCGAATTTCCACAAATTACATCCAGAAATCCACGTTAAAATCTAGAACCAATCCATTAAATTTAACTTAGGGATGTTCTGCAAACGAGAGAACCAGGATACAATCTCATGCATAACCAATCTGTATGTATAATACGTAACACGGTTAAGAATAAACAAAGATAATTTGGTGATTCGTGCATAAAGTTTCAGTCTAACAATACAAAATCCATTGAGAAGTGAAAAGCTGCATGTACTGATAAGCTGTAGAACATATAAAATTAGTTTCTATAAATTATTTATTTATTTTCCTGAAAAACTGAATTAAAGGAACAATATAAACCAATTGTTTTAAAATATAAGAGAAAAATTCGTTTAAGAAGAAAGAATAAAACTTAATTTATTTTTAAAATAAAATTGCTTTAGAACTATTCGCTGAAAACGAATACTTTATTTGCATAATAAAATTTACATTCTGTATATCTCTTGTGTTTTCTATGACATTTGCAAGCTAGTCACAGTGACAAATGTTTTCCCTGTTTTTTAAATTCATTGTATTATTTAGTAATACTCAGAGATACAGAACATATACTAAATTCTTCACCAATCTTTTACCCTGTACAATTCCAAATAAATCATTAGAAATTAATAATTTATACAAATTTTCTTGTATTTTTAATGGTCTTTTAAATAATTTTATATTTTTTTCATATAATTTTTGAAATTTTTCCATGGTTTCTCTTTAACTAAACCCAAAAAATCTTTATATATCAACTAAATTATGCCGGATCTCTCAGAAGATATTGAAAATATTAATTTCAATTAATGAAAATCTAAAGAATTTCATTTCTTACTGAAAATTTTTCAAAGAATAACTTATTTTCTTTGAAAATTACAACGTTTTAAAATAAAATAAAGTAAATAACGTTGAACAAATTCAGCATAAATAGTTTATAATTCAACAGTTTCAGTCAGTCATTGCACTTAGTTCATAATTCTGAGAAAAATTATAGATAAACTATTTTTATGCAATATTTTATCAATTCGATTGCTGTTAGTCTCTTCTATTAATAGTTTAGACGATTTTAAAATCATATTTTTAATCATCTGTTTTTAAAATTAAACAAGGATGTTAGGAGGATGGAGATGCTGTTTAAGTGATATAAAGAANATATATATATATATATACTTAAATTAAAATCAATCAAGCAAATTGATCCGAAACTTCCACGTAAATAAACGTGCATCAGCGATAATGGCTATGATTTATCGGTTCAATTTATTTTATTCCTGACGAAGTTTTATCGGTCACACGTATGCTTCTACCTCATTTTATTCACGGCATGTTGCAATCATTCAATGTTTATTTGTCATACGTAACTCTATGCATCCCTGTCATGGAGCAGCAATTTATTTTCTGTTGCTGCAAATTTATATCGAATCTGAGCGTGAGGAGATAAACATTAAAAGGTACAAACCCTATAAATCTTTCATACATTTTCACTATTCGATCAAGTGCTGGTATGTAATGTATATTACTTTCCTGGCTGTTATATATAACAAAAGTAAAGCAAAGAGACTAGGGGTTTTTTTTCTGTATGTATGGATGTTAGTGTGTGGGGGAAGTTCACCAATTTCGAAGCTTAATAACTACTGTGCCTTTTGTCAAAAGTTTCTGAAATTTTTCAGGGATGTTTGTATTTTAGGGGGGTTGATGCTATGTAATTTTGGTGGTTAAAGATCAAGAGGATGAGGAGATAAAGAGGATCGTGTGCCATATCTCGAGTAGGAACGGACACTTAATGGCGACTTTCCTCGTTATCAGTATTACAATTATTAATGAAATCCATTCCTACATTCAAAATTAATCATTTTGA